CTGTTGGTTGTTTTAAATTCCCTTGTACTTTTTGTTGTAGTTTTTGTGTTTCCCTTCCCCTCCTTGGATTTGTGCGCCGCCAGGAGTCCCGCCGGGAATAGGGTGGCATATAAATAAAATGAACCTTGAACCTAGAGAATTATGCAATGAATCAGTGACCCAGTTCTGTTAGGCACGGCTCCCCCAGAGTAACTCCATAGTAAAATAGGAAGGGGATTACAAAAGAAGAAAAAAGAAAAAAACGAATGAAGATAGTAGGAAAATAGAAAGGTCTAGAGAGGACAGGATTGTCAAAGGGAAATAAAAGTACGATGGCAGACTGCTTCCTTACTTGCTTAAACTGTATCATTATGTCTTTAGAGAGCTCCATGTCCTTAAACATTCCTTCAAGTTTGCTGGTGAAAGCAGCACCACATTCTGCAAGAGAGCAGAGTTAAGATTAAAAGCGCGATCAAAAAGCGTTTGGTCATTTGTTGCCTGCTTAATGTCATGCTTTAAAGATGCTTTTCAGAAGTATTCTGCTTTGGAACTGCTGACGATTATGGCAGCACTGTTAGCGTCATTCTGGATGCCAGCCGCATTATACACAGGTAGCCCTCGTTTAGTGGCGGCACTGAAAAAAAAAGCGACTTATGCCCGTCCTTCACCCTTAGGACTGTAGCTGCATTCCCGTGGTCATGTGATTTGCATTTTGACGCTTGGCAACGGGTTCATGTTTATGACGGTGGCGGTTTCCTGCGGTCACGTGATCCCGTTTTGCAACTTCTGACCAGCAAAAGAGGGAAGCTGGATTCACTTCCCAGGTGGGTTTCTAACTTAACAACCTCAGTGGTTCCCTTAACAAATGTTGGCAAGGAAAGCTGTAAAATGGGGCAAAACTCCCTGAACAAATTTCTCATTTAGCAGCCCACATCTGGGGTTCGGTTGTGGTGGTACGTCGGCATCCTTTGATATTATGGTTGCAAATTCGTGGCAAAGTTTCCTCTATTCGGAGGCAGGAAGTTTTATGAAAACCTGTTGTGTAACCGCTCAATTGCCAGTATAAACAATTCGCTCAAACTCCCAAGGGGGAAACAAATTCCTATCCTTGTTTTACAAAACTGACATATTTACTTCTCTGTAGCTGCCCCGGCCCTATGGAACGATCTANTATCTATCTATCTATCTATCTATCTATCTATCTATCTATCTATCTATCTATCTATCTATCTATCTATCTATCTATCATCTGTCTGCCTGCCTGCCTGCCTGCCTACCTACCTATCCATCCATCTGCAATTTTCTTTAACTTCTACATTTATTACCATGCAAGCATTTTTCTTTAACAGATTTTAAAATTTATTCCTGCAGCTAAATTTAAGAAAGTTAGCCGGGCACAATTACCTTTATATATTCAATCCACTGTTGCAAAAGAGCCTGTACTCCATTTTTGACCCGGCTGAACAACTGATAGAGTAGTGACAAATCTTGAATTCGATTTTCATCCAGGAGATGATTTAAACCTGCAAAATGAAGGAACCACAATTCTAAGTTAAAGGCAGGCTGACGGAGACAAAACATTTCAAAATTAAGTTTGAAAAGTGTGAAGAACATTCCCCCCCCCCAAAAAAAAACCCGTTTTGGAATCAAAGCATTTGTCAACTAAAACACTGAATTTTGCATTACAAAAGAACATAACACATGTTTTTTTTTTTAAAGAAAGGCTATTGCAATTCTAGGATGGAGAAAATAATACTCTGAGAGGGAAATAACTATGTTTCTTGGACCTTCTTGGAGGAAGAATATTTAAAGAATAGTATTTCAATATATTTTTATTTTCCAACATATAAACATTCCATCTTTCCTTAAACAGTGTGTGGTTTGGGTATAAATATCTCTGTACAGCAGCTTTCAGCCTTTACAACATCATTCATGTGAATATTAATTCTCTAATCTTAAAATTGTAGCATATGAAAAAAAATGAACATTATTAACCTATTCATTTTCCAGTATTTCAAAAAATATTAACACTGTGGTTAGACAGAGCATATTCAAGATATTAAATATTCGTTTAATATTCTACACTGTTAGGAAGGATTAAAAAAAAACATTTTACTTTCAGAAACATTTCTGAATTTCCACAAGAGTTCCCTTGACAGGATTTCCATCTGTAATAATAACCATGATTCCCCACCCCCGGCCCCTCAAAGCTGGTTAGGGTTGTCTGATAAACCTGAATTAGCAACTCTTTAGGAGAGAGCCGCTCTTAACTTTTGGGGTCTGGAAAGAGGCAGTGGGCAGGGCGATGGTAAAGAGGAGGGTAGGGTCACATCATCTGCATGACACAGAGAAGGATTTTCTCTATTTTCATAAAGGTTTGGAAGATAAGGTTTTTCCCCCCCCTAATGTATTGAATCTATTTTAAGATTTAGAAGACCCCCGTTGTGTGGGTTCCCACCTCCATATGCCCCCCCCCCAAAGAATGACCCTTGTTTCTAGCAGTTATACCCTAAACAGGATCTGAGGCTGCAAATAAAGGTCCTGAGTGGACCCTGCCTACAATTCTTAAGATTCCCCCTTAAGACAATCTTTGGTTTAATGGAGCACAACTCAAAAGTTTAAAAGGAAAAAAAAAATGAAGCGTCTGTTTCGGCATTTTCTCTGCCCTTGTGAGGGCTTGGCAAATGTTGGGCTCGCCTAAGGCTTGGCAAACGCTGTGCTTAAAATCCTAGAGTTGGCAGTTGAGTCTGATCCAGCCACCATTGTCCTTTTGAACTACCTGCATCCCTATTTCCTGCCCAAACAGGGGGTTGGACTAGAAGACCTCCAAGGTCCCTTCCAACTCTGTTATTCTATTCTCCTCCTCCTCCTTTTTTTGTTGTTTAATGACCCTGTAATCCCTTGCGGGATAGAGTCTGGGCAATTGAATGGAGATGAATGTTTAGTGGCCGGATGCCTTTCCCTGTTGCCAAGGTGGAGTTTTATTCAGCAGATATATTCTCATGGTGTCCAGAGAGAGAAATATCTGCCTCTGCCTAGGATCGAACTCACAGCCTCCTGATTGTGAGGCGAGAGCTCCACCCACCTCTAGGCCAACGCACCGCTCCGTATTCTATTCATATTCTCAAATACTCAAATACTCAAGAAATATTCCCCTCAGCTATTCTTAGCACAAGTTGGTATTGCAAAATGCAAAGGACGGCATTCCTATGGTTCCTTTCTTCCCATAAGGAGAAGAATGTGTCCTGCAGGCCACTCTGGAGCACAATGTAATACAGTGGTGGGTTGCAGGCAGTATGCCCCGGTACGGGCGTCCCGGAGCCTGCCCAGAGCACCAGATACCGTTCTGGTAGGGTGCTCCAGAAGGCTCACCTGCGCTCCTTACTGGTCTTTTAAGTCTTTGGCGCTTCCGCGCATGGTGCATACAGCGCCTGCGTGATGCTCCGCTGAGCAACTGGGGTGTCGCGGAGGTGCTAAGATGTACCCACCACTGATGTCATGGTATACGGAGACAAGGGTGTGTCTGGGTGTGTCAGAATCAGCACCCAATTGGGCCATTTCCACCTAGCCCAGGGAAGCAAAAAGCCCCGAAGAAGCAGTAAACAAAATATTTCCATAATGATAAAGATGGGTTACCTTTCTGTAGGATGGATGTTAAATGTTCCCCCAGCAACTGTTTTTCTACAGTAGCGATTAGTGGTTTCCTACAAGAGAAAGCGTTTAGAATTACAATCCTTTTTGCTCATTCTTTAACTGTTCAGATTATTCCTCTAAGGCGAACACCAAGAATTGCCACAGGTTAAGAATCAACATTCTCCAACAACATGACTGTGGCCTATCCACTTACTGAGTGCTTTGATCCAGGTACGTTATAATCCTGTCTGCCTCTTCTTCCAAGCGTTTGTTGACATGATGAAGATATTCAGGGACCTGGAAGGTTTGAGAGAGTTATGGAGAAAATCATAAAGTGAGGTAACGTGGTGACGCAGTGGTTAAGAGTGCAGTACTGCAGGCTACTTCTGCTGACTGCCGGCTGCCTGCAATTTAGCAGATCGAATCTCAACAGGCTCAAGGTTGACTCAGCATTCCATCCTTCCGAGGTGGGTAGAATGAGGACCCAGATTGTTGGGGGGAAAATGCTGACTCTGTAAACCGCTTAGAGAGGGATGCAAAGCACTGCAAAGCAGCATATAAGTCTAAGTACTGTTGCTATTGCCCTTCCCTCCTTCCTTCCTTCCCTCCCTCCCTCCCCCTTTCCTTCCCAGTGGTTAGAATACAGTATTGCAGGCAGGCTGACTCTGCCCACTGCCAGGAGTTCAATCCTGACTGGCTCAAGGTTGACTCAGCATTCCATCCTTCCGAGGTGGGTAGAATGAGGACCCAGATTGTTGGGGGGAAAATGCTGACTCTGTAAACCACTTAGAGGACTGTAAAAGCACTGTGAAGCAGTATCTAAGTCTAAGGGCTATTGCTATTGCTAAAAAGAGGTTTCTTTGGAAGGGCGGATAGCAGGGAAAGACATCTATCTGCTTGCAAAAAGAAGGAATTAGAGAACTGGGGCTTCGGTTATAAGAAAATACCTCTCTTTCTTGCATAAGCCGCTGTCCTTCTGCGGCATAGAGACGGTTTGTTTCTTCCAAGAATCTGTGCTCGAAAGAATCCTGATAAATCTGAAGGGAAGAGAAATAAGATTGTTACCTTCAGAATACTCCGGCAGCTCAATTTTTTTAAGGCAGATTTTACCCCGATGGCTGGCTCTTACTTGCAAATCTGAAAGCATGCTTAGGAGGCTACGGAGCAGACTCCTGTCAATAGCCTCTCCGTTTCTTTCCCTCTCGATCAAGAGAAGAATGCCATCGATAGTTTTGTTCTGGACTTTCTGATCGCTAATTATATGAGTCCTAAACAATTCCAGCCCCATATCCCTGAAGGGGTGGAAGAAAAAAAAAGAAAGAACGTAAGGTTGTTGTGTTCGCTGGTTTTGGTAAGTCATGATTTAATTCCAAAGGTGTTTTTTTTTTCAAGAGGCAACTGGACTTTCTGCTTTTTTTTTCTTTGAAGAGGTCTCGCTTCTCATCCAAGAAGCTTCCTCAGCTTCTTCAGAACTTCTTCAGAGCTGAAAAAGCTTCTTGGATGAGAAGCGAAATGATTTCAAAGAAAAAAAAAACCCAGAAAGTCATATTCACTTAGCAACCACGATCCTAACTTAACAATAGCAGTGATTTATTAAGTCACTATGGCAAGAAAAATAATAAAATGGGGCAAAACCCACTTAACAAATACCTCGCTTAGTAATGGAAGTTTTTGGCTCAATTGTGGTTGTAAATTGAGGACTGCCCCCAATGAAGAATGAGTTGGGTTGTCAGAATGTTCTGATTTATAAACTGTAGCTTTTAACCACACAGTTTTGTAACTTAGGGAAGTAAGCCACTTCAGACATTACAGTTAGACCCAAGTAACCGTTACTGTAGTCATAATTTCACTCTGACATTCATACAACATATTTTCAAAGAGTTTGCTATTTATTTGAACTGGCTTTCGAATGCAACTCAAACGCCATACATTTTAATAAAGATCTGGGCAGGGGGAAATATTCAAAGGAAAGAGAAAACATTTTCTTGGTTTTGTTCTCCATCCACTGTGGACCGGCCATCGCTCTATCAGGATAGAAGGGGAGAAAAATGACAAATCAATAGCTCGACAAAGAGTTCACAAGCGGGAAATCAATACTACTATTTTTCCACCCTCACCAAATTGATGGCAGCATTGAATTTTGGAGAACGTAAGTTCGATCCAGGAACAAAAAGATGCTTCTAATCATTATCTGCAAGAAAGAACGAGAGAAAGAAAAAAAAAGCGTCACGTGTTGACTGATTTTAAGGACGATATTTATTGGATGAATAGAACGTAAGATCTTTCAACTGCCTTCATCTAGATACATTAATTTGGAAGGGAGAGCCACTTAATTTAAGGGAATTTACTTCCAGATATCTGTGTGTATTGACTGCTGCTGTGAAAAGTCAAACACTTCACAAAGAATTTAGAGACTGATCTCGTTTATTATAATGGCACAGATATTTTTAATGGCCCCAGATAAATATTTCAGGAGGGTGAAAGGTTTTCTCAACAGTTATTCTCCCATTTCCTGTCCCCAAGGAAGAAAAAAATACTTATAGAAGTTTCCTGCTATTGGCTAACTTTCAACAGAAAGAACTGATACAGTAGAGATAAACCTGAATCTAATTCTTAATTTCCCCTCAATATGACACCCACCAAATTGTTCCTAAATACAAATTACTGGAACCTTTTTTTTGACATTGTTAACAATATGAAAAGATTAGTTAAACTGTCCATGAATGTCCAGTTCTCTTCTCCTGAGGAACCATCTAATCCAGAGGGGTCCAATCTTGGCACCTTTGAGAGTAGTGAACTTCAACTTCCAGCATTCCCTAGTCAAGTCATTCTGGGAGTTGAAATCCACAATTCTTAAAAGTTGCCAAAGTTGGAGACCCTGATCTACTCCTTCAGTGCTGTCTCAGATAGACTCAGTTCCTCCAGGGAAAAAGTTTTCAAATGGCATAGAAGATAACCATCTTTAGTTCTAAGCTTTTAGAAACATTTAGAAAATAAAGAAGACTTACCATCTGTCTGCAATGGTCTTGCCAACATTTGTCTATTTTCTTAAGAAAAAGAACACTGTCCAACGAATCCTTGAGGAAGCAGTTAAGAATATTTTTTAAAAACATTGTTATTGATACCGCTTTAGTGGAAGTTTACTTAGTAGTTTAATATTCTGCTCCCAAATGTTTAAAGGTGACTACCCCACGTACACATGGCAAGTTCCAGTAAGAATATGTTTATATGCAGTTTAATGATTAAACCAATTAGTTGGCAGGTAATATACGTTTATTTCTCTTCTGCTTCTGAAATACTTTTAAGGTATTTCGTAGCTGCCCAAAGAATCTATAAGTGCCACATTTCTTAAGCCACGAGAATTGCTAAAACAGTTAACAAGGCCCTGACATGCTTTCCATTTATTAAAAAGGATATTCTCTGAACTGATGGATCTGTGCTTTGATATGGTCTTCACAAATCTGCCTTAATTGCTTGTACAAATTTGCAGAAATTTTGTAGGAGCAAAGGTTTTCAACAGCCTAAAAGAAGAAAGAAAATACAAGAATGACATACGTCACTTTCCTCCTTATTTTGTCTTAACACATTAGCAACGGAGAATGCAATTTCTGTTTGTTATGTTCTTGAATACGAGGTAGTGTAAAAGCCAAAGCAAATACAAATCTAACAAGTGCAGGCTTCCTAAAAAAAAAAAACCCAGCATGTTACAAGTCTTTGTTATTTGTCAACAGGCACATCAAGAGCAATGAGGCTCCAATAAGTTTTCCGATACATTCCTTTTTTATCATAGCAATAGCACTTATATACCGCTTCACAGTGCTTTACAGCCCTCTCTAAGCAATTTACAGAGTCATCTTATTGGCCCTGACAATCTGGGTCTTCGTTTTACTGACCCTGGAAGATGGAAAGCTAAATTAATCTTAAACCGGTCAGGATCGAACTCCTGACAGTGGGCAGAGTTTGCCTGCAATAGCAATAGCACTTAGACTTATAGCAATAGCACTTAAGATTTATATACTGCTTCACCCTGCTTCACAGCCGCGCCTAAGTGGCTTTCAGAGTCAACCTAGTGCCTCCAACAATCTCATTTTACCAACCTCGGAAGGATGGAAGGTTGAGCCAACCTTGAGCCAGTCAGAATCGAACTGCTGGCAAACTACAAAAGCTTGCAATATGTTATAATTTTTTTTTTTTAAAAATTGAAAGCTGCCTAGACGGCAGGCTATAGAAACTGAATAAACAAACAAATAAAGGCTTTAAATTCCCTACTGAACGTGGCTGCTGCTGGTTCACAGAACTCAAATATCACCATTTAGAGGAGACAGCCCGTGGAATGATTGTTCTACTGTCTTAGGACACATAGCGCTAACTTCAAGAGCAAAGAAATGGAAAGGAAAGAAGGATCACTACGCTAGACTTATAACAATGCTATTTCAGACCAAAGTTCTACCACTTTATGGATAACCCCACAGCAGGATTGGCTGCAAAGATCTTTTAAATTTTACATTTATTTATTTATTTTGCCGGCAGAGGAAGGAATGTGTCAAGAAATGTATTGGGTTCTCACAAGAGGTATGTCTCAATTCTTTGATGAGAGAGAGGGAGGGAGGGAGGGAGGGAGGGAAGGAGTGGGGGGGGAGAGAGAAACCCTGCCATGATTTAGATAATGGTATTAAAAAAAAAACATAGCTAGAAGAAGCATTTACCAGTTCTGCTGGTCTTAGAGTGAATGGTTTTATTTTAGTCATTAGTTACCAGCAACCATGTGACTATTTTTAACTCAAGGCATTAAAAATAGACCCAGACAAATCATGTCGACAGAAAATGCAGCTGCTTTGCCTTTCAATTCCAATACAATTCCATATGTNTACTACTTAATACAATAGGATATTGGCTATGTAATAGTATACATGTGATTATATGTCATGAAAATGAAAAATAAAAAAAGCATATTTCAGAAAAAAAAGTTTTCATTGACTAAACATCACTTCCAGGGGCGGTATTCATTTACTTTCCCTACCGGTTTGCAAATGTGAGCATTCAGGCATGCGTTCGGCCTTCTGTGCGTGTGCTTTGACTGCGCATGGGGCTTGCACGCATGCGCACGGCTTGAAAACATGCCTAAATAGGACAGCATAGAGCTGGGATGGGTTGGTAGGCCCACCCGCAATTTCCACTAGCGGTTCGGGTGAACTGGTTCGAACTGGCTGAATACCACTTCTGACCACCTCCCATGTCCTTTTTCTCCCCCAAGTCGGAGAAAACTGGCCTTCATTTTTGCACCAGACACCCCTAGTCTATCACTTCAGTGCTCACGAGAGCCTTTGCCCTCCTCCCCAAATGTTAAGTGAAATTTCTTACAGGTAATCCTCGATTTACAACACCCCGTTTAGCGACTGTTCAAAGTTACAACAGCATGGGAAAGAAGTGAGTTATGACTGCTATGACTTTTGACCGTTGCATCATCCCCAGCGTCAAGTGATCGAAATTCAGACACTTGGCAACTATCTCATATTTATGACGGTTGCGGTGATCCACTTTTGTGACCTTCTGACAAGCAACGTCAAAGGAAAGCCATAGTCACTTAACACTTAACAACCATTGTTACTATCTTAAGAATTGCAGGGATTCGCTTAAAAACAGCGGCACGAAAGATGGTAAAACGGGCCAAATTTCACCCCAAAAAGGTGTCTCGCTTAGCAATGGAAATCTGGGGTTCAATTTGGTGGCCGTAAGTTGAGGACAACTTGTATTTAGGCTCATAGTTTTTTTTACATCTCATTTGGAAGAAAAAGGGATACCAAAGCTGTGCCTTCTCTAGCCCTGAAAACACACCCTCGGGGATTTTGAGTTATAAATCCATCTTAACGCCCTATTTGGCAGCTCCTGGAGGAATGACGCTGTACCTATGAGTTCAGCTGGTTTATTGGGTCTTTTGTTGATGAAGGTTTCAAAAGCTTCTTTCATGGCGTTGACAAACTTCTCGTTTTTCAAGAAACAGATGTCGATGATGTGATCCACTTTATCCTTGAAATCTAGCAGCTCCTGGACCATGGTCTTGTCCTTTTCTGGATTAATGACAATGGTGCTACCAAATGCCTAAAAGGAGCACGAGAAACATCACAGGGTATTTGTCCCTAATATAATCGATGGCAAGTTAATAAAAACCCACCAAGGAAAATTAGAAAATCAAGTTAATGATGCCCGTTTATATGCTAGCGTGTTCAGGCTGTTTAGAAAACCCCTTTGTACTTGGGGTAGAAACGTTTTCCAAATGCAACAAGGTTTTCTGAAAAGACAGGCAAGGAGAATGCTCCACTTTTGGGAGCAAAATCCAAATGATTCAACAAAGATGAAAGCTGCCCAGTCAAGTTCCAAAATTCCTTCTACAAGCTGGGTTAGAGAAGAGACTGCACTGCCATGTTTCAGAAATGGTGTAGGGTCTCCTGCTTGGGCGAGGGGGTTGGACTAGATGACCTACAAGGTCCCTTCCAACTCTGTTAATCTTCAAAATTCTAGGGTTNACAAAACAGAAATAGAGCAAATATTGTTTACCTCCCTTCCTTCAAACACATTAAGTCACCTCAGTTAGATAAAATTCTAAAAGATTGTTTTAATAGTTAAGATGCTTTTCCTGATAAACTGAATGCTTCCCTTAATAGGTCTAGTGGCTCAAGGACTACCCCCAGCATCATGTGACTTGTCAAAGCTGGCACTTTCAAAACTGGCATGTAAACTGGCTTTCTCTAACAAGACTCAGCTACGAAAAATGCCTCCCCTATCTGCAAAGTCCACATTTCAATCCCTAACCCACAAACAGGTCCAATTTTGGTTCAACATGCTCTGGGGATTCCTGTGAGGGTCATAAGATGGATGTTAACAAGCTATGCTTTCTTGCATTTAGACTATACAACAGTGAACACAAGATTCATACCATTTGATGTTATTATAAAATTTCAATCACTTTTTAAAAAAAAATTCTAACATTTTCAACTTAAAAAATCCTCCAATGCAATCCTTTTTAAAAAAATAGTTGTGCTTCATCTAAAAAAAAAAATCAGAGTTTTCTGGCCTAAGGAAATAATGCATCTATTTGAAGTAAACGGTAATTTTCAAGATCTAAAATCCTACACAGTTACACAATGATCCTGGTGGGTTGGGAATGCACTGTTAATGTCCTGCCAAATAAACCTTTTAACACCGAAAATCTGTGCCTGACACCCTTGGAAGGTAAAACTAAAAGGGAAGATATAAACAGAACAAGATTGAGGGCAATTTATAGAAGCATGCATAATCATATTATGAAGACTTAAGCAAAGACTTAGTGGGTTTTTAAAGTATGTTAAACCGACTGCAAAGAGATTCTTCGGGATATAAGGCTCGCCGTACACCTACTAAATCCCACAAATTTACCAAGTCTTCAGGTAATGCTGCATTTAATTCTCAGTGTAACTAGTAGATCTAAACTAAAATTATCTACCTTTTCTTTTTCATAATGCTAGTACAGATCCTTAAACCAATGACAATCAGTAAAATCAACGCATGGAAAAAAGAACTGATACTTAAACCGTGAAGAACAGAGAATGAACCTGTTAAATAGCCATGAAATGGTATCTAGAATTTGTTACTTAAGCAGTTTAAGTTTTTAAAAATAGAGGATTGCCATAATTTTTCAGGCAGTAAAATATTTATTACCATAAACTTAAATGTTATGCTAGGAAGCTACATATCAATGTCTTAATATTTTAATTGTATTTAAAATATTTATATAATTTAATAAACCAGCACCTTTTATAATAAAACTGATTTGTTTTGGTTCTTTTACTTAACAAAGCTAATAAGATACCAGATGTGCCCCGAGGGCAGGGCTTGAAATATTTTAACCTTGTTCTCTGGTTTTCAAATAGGTAGTCAAAAAGGCTTAATTTTCCTAGGAAAACCTCTCTTTGGAGATTCTGTTGTGTATTTTCTTCCTTTGCCTTTTTTCAATGAAAGGCATGCAGGTGTTTCATTTGTTTGGAACTAGTCGATAATGGAACTTTTACTGGTGGATTTTATTTATTAAAATTTCACATCACCCAATTCCCTAGAATTCCGAGGTGCTTCACAGATAAAAACACACAGAACAAAAGAACACCATGATTAAAAACAAAGAACCAAAAAATTGGCATGAACTGGAAAATAACTAAAACAAACTAGCATTACCTAGAAGGGGGCTTCGATCATCCCCAAATAGGGAATTCTCTACTGTATCTATTAAGGCAATTGTGGCTCAAGCCAGCACTGCATCCCAAAAATGTGGCTGGTGTGCAGACAATTAAAGGGGACACTTCACAAAAACAAATTGATATTGTACAATTTCTACGGTGAGAAAGCATGAAGATCAGCTCATCATGAATCCTGAAGATGTTCTTGTTAATTTTCTCATCTGTCTGAGATGGCATCTCATCTAGAACGTGAAGATGGGATCTCAATGCCACATGCCAAGGAAGTGGAGAAAATCCTTGGAATTATTGCAAAGTCTACTGGTGGATTGAAAGTATATCCATGAAGGCTTACCTGGTAAAGCTCTTCTAAGTTGTATTTAATTGAAGTACTGTTCTGAATTGCTTCTACAGCTTCTTTCAGTTTTTGCCAGGTTTCATCGGTATAATTTTCAGGCAGTTTAGGTTTATCTGGAAGAAAACAGAATTCTTTACAGCAAATGTTATTGTCATTTAAAATTACAGAAAAATGATTTGGTATAGTGCTTGTGCTTCCCAACAGTAACTTCAATAATTATTTTTTGGGGGGAACAGGACACCTCATAAACCAGAAAGAATGTATTTTCATACTCAGAGACAAAAGAATACCATTTTTTGCTCTGTAAGCAGGAGTGGTAATTGTGGTGATTTGGCCCTTGATAAAAGCTCCAATGTTTCAAACCAATAAATAAGTCAGTAAGGTTTCTTACTTCATCAGTGTATTAGTACAAAATACTAATTTTGATTCAAGGTTTTTTTAAATGCAAACTGAAAAGGAATGCTATTTGGATATTTCTTCCTTATGTCTTGTCACAATCTGTCAGAGCCATTTCATGCCTTCTATGTACCTAGTCTGTTCCACTTTAAAATCACAAGATTTTCTTGAATATTATTTTGTACCAGCTTAAAATAGTGAAAATCAACTAGGGACAGCTGATTACTTTGGCTTTCAATGACAGACTGTACATGATGTATAATTTTAATTTAGATTACATAAGCCAAAAAAGAAGCAAGCAAACAAACAAACAGTCAGCATAATATTGATCTACTATATGAAATGAATTATATGCTAAAATTATCCTTATCAAGTGAAAGCAAGGAAATGTAAAATTGTCTACAAAGTCAGAAATTGATCTATATAGCTTAATGTTGAACTTTTCAGATAAAAAACTTCAGTGTATTTCTTCGGCTAAAATTACAAAACTAAGGCATGTCTGAGTAATTTGTTAATCTACAAAAGTTATTTAACAGAGACAGCCAGTACAATATATGATGCATTTATTGCCTGAAACAGAATTACAAAACAGCTTTATTTTTTCTTATAACCAAAAACTATATAAGCAGGAAATAATACAATGTATAAAAACATTTAAAAGTCAGTTCATTACACATAATGTACAATGTAGTATCTTTTGATTTTTAAAAGCATGTTGAAGTATCTCTTACAAATGGATGCTTTTCTTAGATTATATATAGTGTTAAGTACCCTAACTTTTTTCTCTTCAACTTCACAGCCACAGGAAATTACCAAAGAATCTAAAGGTGTTTGTTTGTCTCAACCTTAGAGGACCAGAATATTCATGTGTTGTTTTATCCATTATTTCAAAATTATGCCAGGATAATCTAGTTTCAACTTGACTTAAAATGAACATCAAATCCTCTCCACTCCCAATCAATTCTAGAAGATTTTTCAGATCAGTTGGGGAAGTTGTTGCAGAAGGCCATTTAAACAACCCCCTGCTCCCCCACCCTTGATTTGGATGACTGCTTAGGCCCAAAGCCAGCTGGATGACCCTGGGCCAGTCACTCTCTTCTCAGCCCCAGGAAGCAACAATGGCAAATCAATTCTGAAAAACCTTACCAAGAAAATTGACGAAATTGGAACTGGTCCAGTTACCAAAGAATCAAAATGTGACTCAAAAGCACATAATACAGAAGACAACAAAACACAAAGAGCTGCAAATGGAAACAGAAGACTGTGACAAAAGAAAAAAAAAGTATCAAAAGTAATAGATACCTTGGATATAATCCCAAAACAACTGGAGCACCACTTGAACGTTGAGCATTGACAAAATCACCACCAGTCAATTGCAAAAGGCAGCTTTATTCAGAACACAGCTTACATCCTATGAGGATACCTTTAGTACTATTAAACCATGTCTGCTTACCCCAGGTCCTTAGGTAGCTAAAAATGCATGTTTAAATATCTCCACAGTTTGAACATCTGCCTAACTACTGTAACAGACCCATGGGAAAGCAAACTGATTGTAGAAAGGGAAAACACAGTTAAGTAACATCTCATTTTGTACTACTCTGCTCTAATACAAACTACAACTCTACTACATAGATTCATAAATACAAATTTGACAAAGCATGCAGGACAATTTCCATTTGCTTACAGAAACATTTGGGAAGTGTCCACCTAAGCAAGTACTTTCTTCAAGTTGCCATTAATATCTATTTATATTTAAAATATATATATCCATCTTATCTCCTTTAAATTTTTTTTGCCATACTCTCCAACTGGGTGTAAAAATGAAGAGAGACTAGTTCCTTCCTCAATGGTTCCCATAGACTCAACCAAAGTCATGGGTTAACAAAAAAGGCTACAATACAGGTAAGAAAGCACCTTTCCTCAAACAATGATTAAGAATAACCTCTGAAGATGTCTTCCTTTCTTATCAGAAAGCTAGCTGGGTTTTGCACGTAGGCAGAAAACCAGCTACCCTTGGGAATAATAAAGCTGTAGTAGAGGAATAAATCCTGTGGCAAGAAAAAGGTGCCTTACGCTGTGGTTTCCCCTTCAGATATTGGACGTTAAAGAGATTACGTGTGACAGCAACAGGTTACCTTTAAAGTTCTTGATCACTAACTTCTTGGCTGACCCAGGTTTACTGTTTGCAAAACTGGAGACAGTGGAGGAGGCAGCTTTGGTCAGGCCGTTGGCATGGTGTCCCACCGCTACTGAGGAGATTAAGAGGCTTTTGTTTTTGAGCTGCTGGTGCTGCTGCGAAGACGCAGCCGGCGATGAGGACGACGACGAAGAGGACGACTCCTCGGCCATCTTCACATCCAGTCCAATAAAATCCAAGGAGTCCTCGAAACGCAGCTTCTTTTGCAGGTGGTGGTTGGAAGAAGCAAGCCCTGAGGAAGAGGAGGAGGAACAGGAGGCCGTGGAGGCGGTGATAATGAGAGCGGGCAAGGAGGAACCGCTGTTGCGAGACAGGAGGGACGCACAGGAGGAGATGGAGTCCACGTCTTCTCTCTCGCCGCTGTTGCTGCTGCTGTTCAGCTTTCTCTTCTTGGTGGCAGAGGAGGAGGAAGAGCCACTGCTGCTGCTACCATCCGTGGCAGGTCTGACCTCCTGAGCCGCCGCTGCTGCTGGGGGGTTGGGGGAAGAGAAACCTGTGGGAAACATGAACACCACAGAGGTGAGCAGGCTGAAGGGCATCAAATCCTCCTGGTGTGACAGGCACGCAGAGAGGGGCGGGAGCAGAGCTGGGTGTTACGAAAGGTCGACGCTGCCTGGAGGTCGGGAGTAGCGGGGGAAGGGGGGGAATGAAGCCCAAAGGGACGACGACGGGCGAGGCCTTCTCCTCCTCTTCCTCGTCCCCCCTTTTTTCCTCCTCTTCTTCTGGGAGGGAAGCCCCCCGTCCGTCTCTCTCTCTCTCTCTCCCCTTCGCCTTTCGGGGAGGGGGGGACGTTTTCCCTCTGGCGCTGGCTTATGTCGACGGGCCTGCTCCCCTTCCTTGCCCAACCCCGCTACGTCTGCCCCCTTTTTCCTCAAACGGGCAGAGGGGTGGGGGGAGAGAGGGTCCTCTCGGTCTCTCCCGCCCGGGGGCCGCCCCCCTTCTCTCTCTCTCTCTCTCTCTCTCTCTCACGCCCGGCCTCGGAAAGCTCCGCTTCCCCCTTCCCCGCCTCTTTCGCGGCCCGCAGAGGGGAAGGAGGGCCGCCGGGCGAGGAGCTCCGCTTGTTATTGTCAATACTAGGAGAGAAGGGGAAAAGGNAAAGTCTGCAGACTGTATGGCCCTTCGCTCTCCTTGTTAAGCCAAGTCCCAAAGGCTGAAATGACCTCAAAGGCAACGTGGTTTTGGCCATATCACACCACATAAAGGAAGCAGTTGGCAATGAGCGCTGTTTTAAAAAGCCGTCATCGTCCTTGGTTGGAGTATTGTGGCCACAAACATTTCAATGACAACATGTGGTTGGCTGCTGCCTCCCCAGGGCACAGCCTTAAGTTGATTACGGACCTCGAGAGAAACTTGGACAGGATACATCAGAAGTGACAGCAGCAAAACTGCAGTACGCCGGCTTCTGAAATCTCTCACGTCGTTTTCTTTTCCTCCCACAGCTGTTTCACGTTCTTCCTTTCTTTTTTATTTTTGCTTTCTACATCTAATGCATTTAACCTGTGCAAGCAGCTCTTCGCCAGCTCTTCTTTTGCCAAGTAGTGATGAAGTCCAAAAGGCCAGCTGCTGAAGTTCTTGGAGAGTCTCAGTCATCCAGGTCATGGCTGCCCCAAAGGTGCTTTTTCAAAAAGGCAACTTGGCTTTTCCTTGAAGTATCTTCCGCTTCTCATCCAAGAAGCCCGTATTGAGCCAGAACGGAAGAATCTTCTCGGACGAGAAGCAAAATGTCTTCAGGGAAAAACAAAGGCCAGTTGCCTTTTTGGAAAAGCACCTTTGGGAGAAGGTGCTGAAAGTATTAAGACTGCAAGGGCTTCCTTCAGGTGGGAGCATGGATCATCATCATCATCATAATCAGCCTCTTTTAACGACCCCATAATCCCTTGCGGAGTGGAGTCTGGGCAACTGAATGGAGCTAAGTGTTTACTGGCCGGACGCTCGTCCTTTTGCCAATGTGGAGTTCTAGTCAGCAGATACATTCTCAGGGTGCCCAGAGAGAGAAATATCTGCCTCTACCTAGCATCGAACTCACAGCCTCCTGATGGTGAGGCAAGAGCTAGGTGGGAGCCTGGATGCCACAGTGAAATACCATTTATAAAGTTACCTCTGGACTTTCAGATTACAATCGATTTCCCAACCATTCCATTGTGGGTCTGAACATGAGCTCCAGCTGCGTGGCCAAATCATAGTTTGGCTATCAAAGATGCTGATTGTAGAGTCATATCTATAGCTGACTGGAACAAGATGTCCTTGAGAGTCATTTTGCTCCACTGTCCTCTAACTAATCTTTCCTGCTTCCAAAAGGGAGGTGGAAAGGGGGAGAAAGAAGGGAAGGTGGCTGAGCTCAGCAGTGGGTATATTGCTATTGGTCGTGACATGATAGCGGTATTCCAGTTTTTGAGGGGCTGCTACAAAGAAGAGGGGCTCAACTTATTTTCCAAAGCACCTGAAGACAAATCAAGAAACAATGCATGGAAATTAATCAAGGAGAAATTACCTGGAATTAGCAATAGCGCTTAGACTTATATGCCCTCTCTAAGCGGTTTACAGAGCCAGCATATTTCTCCCCCCCCCCCAACAATCTAGGTCCTCATTTTACCCACCTCCGAAGGATGGAAGGAAGGCTGAGTCAACCTTGAGCCTGGAGAGATTTGAACTGCCAAATTGCAGGCAGCTAGCAGAAGCAGCCTGCAGTACTGCCCTCTAACCACTGCCCCACCGTGGCTCGTGGATGAATTAAGGAGAAACTTCCTAACAGTGAGGACAAGAAGATACGGGTGCTTCATCATTGGAGGTTTTTAAGAAGAGATTGGATAGCCAGTTGGCTGAAATGGCATAGAGCAGGGGTGTCAAACTCAATTTCATTGAGGGCCACATTAGGGTTGTGTTTGACCTCGAGGTGGGGGCGTGGCCAGGGTGGGCATGGCCAGCCTGATGTCACTCCTGTCGAGGGCACCTGTGGTGACCCGAGTGCTTTTCCAGCAAAAATGCGGCCCTCCTGAGCTCCGTTTTCAATGGCGGAAGGTTGAAGGAGGCCATGGCAACCAACAACAGAGCTCAGAGCCCATTTTCACTGGCAGAAGCACTGCGGGCTGGTCCTTCGCTTTTCCAGATCAGCCCTGCGGGCCAGATCTAAGTATCCTACGGGCCTTGAGTTTGACACCCCTGGTACAGAGACTCCTGCTTTAGCAGGGGATTGGACTAGAAGACCTCTAAGGCCCCTTCCAGCCTTATTCTGAATTGAATTGAATTGCTCGACTTTTTACTAGCTCCCGTTCGCTTGTAGACTTCCCTCTGAAGTGGAGATACAAGTTGGATTAAACAGAGAGTAACAACAAGAGGAAAAGTACTATGATCAAGCACAGACAACAGGGAATTCTGTTGAGGAACAGAGTTGGCAGGTACACACTTGGTATTAAGATCTTGTGACATTTCGTCCCCCTGGTAGGTCTGATTCAGTTGCCCACCGGAGCAGATAACACTGTTTTTTTTCTATGATACGTGAATTGGGCAAACTCTGTCTTCCATAAACCATATGGGGTTTTTTTCCCTCCCCAAGGATTTGCATTTGACATTTACAGTTCCTTAGATTAAAGAATATTTTTAATCTCACCTTCAGCCAGGAGGAGAAAAAAATATCCATATTGCCTCACGATGTCTTTGAAATTGTGAAAGTGTTTTTTTTTTGGGGGGGGGGGTGTTGTACTGGCCTGGCTGTGAGTCAGAAAACTGACTTTGTTTAATTTTGAGAACTATTCGGTAAGCAAGCGAGCGAAAGAGAAGAGCTATGTTTAGTAACGTCAAGGTTATTTGACTCTGGAATGTTGCACAGTATTACATTAAATTAAATTGAAAAGGACACCGCTTGGTTTGGTGCTTCAGAATATGGGCCAGAATCTCTAAAGCAAATTTATTATTTATTTTGATAATCCTATCCTGTCCAATTATTGACAGATTCTGCACTTGCAAGCAAATTCATTGATAGCTGTAGAAGTTAACTTTACAGTAGCATTTCCTTTTAATGACCTTATTCTTCTCGTGGGTTTGTTTTCCTTGTCTGCTTTCAGAGCAATTAGTTGATGGATGGGAATGAGTTGATTGCTTATGTTTAAGCAATTAAATGGGTCAGTTGATACCTAAACATCGAAATTGTCATATTCACCCTCAGTTTGATTTCATCTTGAACAAAATTGACACATACACCATAATGTGGTTTGTTTGATTTTGTCATCCGGTATGCAAACATTATGGTTTGCAAACCATGGCTTATGGTGTAACGCGGTGAGTCAACCAGATGTTGATCTACTCTATGGCATGTCACAATAGAGTTGAACCAGTGTAAATCTTCGTGGGTCGGATACGGTACAGGTAGATCTCGCCTTGCGACCATAACTGAACCCAAAATTCTTGTTGCTGAGTGAGACAGTTGTTGAGTCAGTTTTGCCCCATTTTATGACCTTTCTTGCAACCGTTGTTAAGTTAGTCACACGGTGGTTAAGTGAATCTGGCTTCCCCATTGACTTTGCTTGTCAGAAGGCCGCAAAAGGCGATCACATGACCCCGGGACACTGCAACCGCCGCAAATAGGAACCAGTTGCCAAGCTTCCAATTTTTGATCACATGACCACAGGGATGATGTAGTGGTTGCAAGTGTGAAAAATGGCCATGAGCCATTTTTTTTCCAGTGCTGTTGTAACTTTACAAACGGTTGCAAGTCGAGGAATATCTGTATCCTGGAAATCGGAATATTGTGTTCCAAGGATGGAATATGCATTGTTTTATGATTAAAATTCAGGATGCTTGAAGTAATTCTACAACTTACTTTTAATAAATAAATCACAAAGCCATGGCATTTCTTAAATCTGAAGTCCCAGCAGATGAGGAGACGGTTGGTTTCATTACTTCAAAGAGCCATGGTGGCGCAGTGGTTAGAATGCAGTATTGCAGGCTAATTCACTGCTTATTCCAGGAGTTCAATCCCGACAGGCTCAAGGTTGACTCAGCCTTCCATCCTGCCGAGGTGGGTAAAATGAGGATCCAGATTGTTGGGGGCAAAATGCTGACTATAAACCACTTAGAGAGGGCTGTGAAGCACCATAAAGTGGTATATAAATCTATGTACTATTTCTAAGTGGGAAGGAAGGAAGGAAGGAAGGAAGGAAGGAAGGAAGGAAGGAAGGAAGGAAGGAAGGAAGGAAGGAAGGGCTGTAGTGGTTAGAATGCAGTATTGCAGGCTAACTGTACCAACTACCAGCAGTTCGATTCTCACCGGCTTGAGGTTGTCTCGGCCTTCCATCCTTCCGAGGTGGATAAAATGAGGAGCCAGATTGTTGGGGGCAAGAGGCTGACTCTGTAAACAGCTTAGAGAGGGCTGTAAAGCACTGTGAAGCGGTATTTAAATCTAAGTGCTATTAATGTTATGTATAAGAGTCTTGGGTCATGAAACTCTTCTCAAAACAAAGATTATGTGTCCTATAAGAACATGATTCCACCATGATCTGCTTAATATCTATATATTACACATAAAAATTCAGGAGACTTGCAGGTGTAATGTTCAAAAATGTCCATGTTAAATTCTACTTAACCAAACAGCTCAGTTCTCCGGAAGGCTGCTAATGAATTCTGTTAGCACTTGTAAATCTGCTGTGTCCCTCACCTCTCTCCCTTTGCTTCTCTCACATATCCATTATCCATCTATACAACTCAGATTAGTGTTTATTTGATTGCAGGTAGCACTGTGTGAAGGAGGGATGAAATGCTACCGATTTGGGCGAGCTGGTATTTCCGACGATCAGCTGTGACGCGCGATTTATATTAGCTAGAAAACAGGATTTCCTGCTTTCCAGCTAATCTAAACCGCGTGGCACAGCAGATCCCCCCCCTCGCTGTTCTACTTACCCCCCTCGCGCTCAGTAGCAGGCTGCGCCCACCCACCCGGATGTCATCATGTCCGTTTTTGACGCTCTGCGCATGCGCGGAAGGTCCTGTAGATTTCGTCCCTGGTAAAACAATATAAATCATTGGGGCATTCCTCTCTAAAAGAGTTACAGTGGTTT